ATCTTAAAAAAAAAAAAAAAGATTTTTATGAAATTAAAAGTAGTTTTATATTTATTTATTTTTTGAGACAGAGTCTCACTTTGTCACCCAGGCTGGAGTGCAGTGGCGTGATTTCAGCTCACTGCAATCTCTGCCTCCTGGTTTCAAGCAGTTGTCATGCCTCACCCCTGAGTAGCTGGAATTACAGGCCTATGCCACAATGCCTGGCTAACTTTTGTGTTCTTTTTTTTTTTTTTTTTTTTTGAGATGGAGTTTCACTCTGTTGACCAGGCTGCAGTGCAGTGGTGTGATTTTGGCCCACTGCAACCTTACTTCCTGGGTTCAAGCAATTCTTCTACCTCAGCATCCTGAGTAGCTGAGACTATAGGCATGTACCACCATGCCAACCAATTTTTTTTTTTTTTAAATTTTTAGTAGAGATGGGGTTTCACCATGTTGGCCAGGCTGATCTTGAACTCCTGACCTCAAGTGATCCACCTGCCTCAGCCTCCCAAGGTGCTGGGGTTACAGGCGTGAGCCACTCACCCAGCCTATTTTTATTTTTTGTGAGAGTCTCACTCTGTTGTTCAGGCCAGAGGTCAGTGGTATAATCATAGCTCACTGTAACCTTGCTTGAACTCCTGGTCTTAAGGGATCCTCTTCCCTCAGCCTCTCCAGTAGTTAGGACTGTTGGTATGTACCATCACACCCACCTAAGTTTTAAATTTTTTTTGTCTCACTATGTTTTCCAAGTTGGTCTTGAATTTTTGTCCTCAAGCAATCCTCCTGCCTCAGCCTCCCAGAGTGTTGGGATTACAGGCATGAGTCACTGTGCCCAGCCCTTTAATAGTTTAAAATCAAGGTTTAAGTAGAAAAAGTTTTTTTATTCGGCTCATTGGTTAGATGTTAAGTAATATGAAATACTTAAACATTCATTATTGTTTTTAATATAATTTGGAAAATATGAGCTGCTTTGGATTATTAAAACTTCGCTGGGCTCGGTGGCTCACTCCTGTAATCCCAGCACTTTGGGAGGCCAAGGTGCGTGGATCATGAGGTCAAGAGATCGAGACCATCCTGGCCAACATGGTGAAACCTCGTCTCTACTAAAAATACAAAAATTAGCTGGGCATAGTGTCCTGCGCCTATGGTCCCAACTACTCAGGAGGCTGAGATGGAAGAATCGCTTGAACCCAGGAGGCGGAGGTTGCAGTAAGCTGAGGTTGCGCCACTGCATTCCAGCCTGGTGACAGAGCAAGACTCCGTCTCAAAAAAAAAAACCCAAAAAACTTCATATATTTGTACCATTGATGCGTAGATTCTTAGTCTAGGTTTTAGTGAACTCTGGATTTTTAAAAATTGACTGTGATATTAGTCCAAGTCTGTTATTACTATCGTTATCATTATTATTTGAGAGAGACAGAGTCTTGCTCAGTTGCTCGGGATGGAGTGCAATAGCATAATCACAGCTTATAACCTCCTGGGCTCAAGCAGTCTTCCCATTTCAGCCTTCTGAGTAGCTGGAACTGTAGGCATACACCACACCACCTGGCTAATTTTTGTATTTTTTGTAGAGACGGGATTTTGCCTTTGCACAGGTTGGTCTCAAACTCCTGGGCTCAAGCAGGCCTCTCATCTTGGCCTCCCAAAGTGCTGGGATTACAGGTGTGTGCCAACACACCTGGCCAAATTGTATATATTATTAATCTAGACTAGTTCTGACATTGTTGGTTTTCTTTTCCCCTTAGGTGAGGCAGGCGACTAATCAGATTGTGATGAATTGTGCTGATATTGACATTATTACAGCTTCATATGCACCAGAAGGAGATGAAGGTAAGAGCTGTTTTCCATTTTAATTTGCTGTCTGCATGTGTGTATGTGGGGTGTGTGGGTGTGTGCGTGTGAGAGAGACATTATCAGGTTAAGACTTCACTGTTTATTACTTTAGAAATGGGTAAATTCAGCTGGGTGAGGTGGCTCACGCCTGTAATCCCAGCACTTTGGGAGGCCAAGGCGGGCAGATCCCTGAGCCCAGGAGTTTGAGACCAGCCTGGGCAACATGGCGAAACAAAAACAAACCAACCAACCAAAACATTAGCCAGGCATAGTGGTGTGTGCTTGTAGTCTCAGCTACTTGGGAGGCTGAGGTGGGAGGATTGATTGAATCCAGGTGGTTGAGGCTGTAGTAAGCCATGATCTCGCCACTCCACTCCAGCCTGTGCAACAGAGCAAGACCCTGACTTAAAAAAAGAAAAATAAAAAAGGGCAAATGTTTATGGGAAATATTGAATAGTATAACATAACTGTATTATGAAATAAAGTGAATGTCACAATTTATTTTATTTTTAAATTTATTTATTTCTTTCTTTTTGAGACAGAGTCTTGCTCTGTCGCCCAGGCTGGAGTGCAGTGGCATGATCTCAGCTAATTGCAATCTCCACCTCCTGGGCTTAAGCAATTCTCCCTGCCTCAGCCTCCCAAGCAGCTGGGATTATAGGCACCTGCCACCATGCCCAGATAACTTTTGTTATTTTTAGTAGAGACAGGGTTTTGCCATGTTGGCTAGGCTGGTCTTGAACTGCTGACCTCAGGTGATCTGCCCACCTCCCAAAGTGCTGGGATTACAGGCATGAGCCACCACACCCAGCCAAATGTTACAGTTTAAATTCTACTTCTAAAATTAACTTACGATACTAGGCAAATCACATTTTCATAAGTGTAAAATGAATATAATATGCATAATAAAGCTGATGAGTTATTTTAAAAATTAAGTACTTTGAACAGGAAAGACTCATCAAAGGGGCTTAGTTTATATGTGTTTTTGTTAAAGATTTTTTTTTCTTGTATTAGAGTTTAAAATTGAGATAAGTCATACTCATAATTGGGAGAAAAACATTTGCTTTATGAGACAATATGAAGATTAGAAGCTAGAAAATAGAGTTAGTTATAGGGGAAGAATATGTTAAAAAGAAACGTGGTATAGAATGTGGATCTCTGTTAGTGTCTATAAAATGAGAATTATTTTGGACCTTATAATTTTAATATGAAAGTTGTCCATTTTGACAGGAAATCTTATTCCCATATAAGCTGCTTTTTTTTTTTTTAAGATGGGGTTTTACCATGTTGGTCAGGCTGGTCTTGAACTCCTGACCTCAGGTGATCTGCCCGCCTCAGCCTCCCAAAGTGCTGGGATTACAGGCGTGAGCCACCATGCCCGGCTATAAAGGATACCAAGTTTGGCATAAACTCATACAAGTATATCAGTATTGGAGCTGAATTGCTTTTTACTTTTTTTTTTTTTTTTGAGACAGTCTCGCTCTGTCACCCAGGCTAGGGTGCAGTGGTCTGATCTCAACTATCACAACCTTTGTCTCCTGGTCTCAAGCCATCCTCCCACCTCAGCCTTGCAGGCAGCTGATGCTATAGGCATGCACCATCATGCCTGGCTAATATTTGTATGTGTGTTTTTTGTAGATATGGGGTCTTACTGTGTTGCCCAGGCTGGTCTTAAACTCCTGGGCTCAAGGGATCTGACCTTTGCAGCCTCTCAACTTGCTAGGATTACAGGCATGAACCACCACACCTGGTCATGTTTTTACTTTTGATTTCACCTTGACATTCTTTGTCAAAATGGTTTATTGGTTATTTGGAGACTTCTTTGATATAAAATAATTTACAAATTTGATCTTTTAACTTACCTTTTATATTTTGATTTCCTTTCTCCTTTACATTATGCTGAAAAGAAACAAGTTTCATTTTAAGTCCTCATAACATTTATGAATTTTTCTTAAACTATCTTGTCCATACAAAGTCAAAGTAGTAGCAGTTGAACATACTATTCCCAAGGTGTACTTAAGTTCAATTGATTGTAAATTAGATTAGACTGCTGCAAGAACATTCTTTAAATGGACTTGAGTGATTGTCAGCTTTTAAAAAATTGGTAAATGAAAGAGTGATTATTTAATTTCTTTAACTGTGGAGAAAAATAGAAGTACTTTAGCCAAGCATATAAAGCAACAAGGCTTTCTTTGTTGCAGGTAGAGAATGTTTAAATTTGATGTATGGTTTTAAAGTGGTATATAGATAGGTAGATCTAGTAAAATAAATGTGCACCTTCCAGTTGGCATGGTTTCCGCTCAAGTTTGTTTTTTATCTTCCTTTACTAAAAATGTCAGGAAAGAATTCAGATAACTGAAAAGTTCTGAATATGCATAACTGAATGGTGCTAAGCTCATAATGATCTGTATCTCATGGAAGCCCAGTTGGTGCTCTTACTAAGAGAGTTAGGAGAGAAATAAAAACTTCATGGAAAATAAGATTTGGAGAGAGATACAGATAAAACATTAAATTTTTTTAGATGCATGAGATATTTTCCAGGCTGGATGTGGTGGCTCATGCCTGTAATCCCAGCACTTTGGGAGTCCGAGGTCAGTGAATCACAAGGTCAGGAGTTCAAGACCAGCCTGGCCAAGATAGTGAACCCCATCACTACTGAAAATACAAAAATTAGCTGGGCATGATGGCAGGTGCCTGTAATCCGGCTACTCAGGTGGCTGAGGCAGAGAGAACTGCTTGAACCTGGGAGGCGGAGGCAGCAGTGAGCTGAAATTGCGCCACTGCACTCCAACCTGGGTGACAGAGCGAGACTCCTTCTCAAAAAAATAAATCTTTTTTTCAATTTGCTTCAAATGATAAAAATTTAAAAAAACAAAATTTTTTTCCCCTTCAGAACTAGCTAAGGTACATTTCTCAATGCTTTTCTTGCACAGCAACAGGAAAAAACTGGAGTTGTGTAAACCCATTTAATTTTAGAGTATAAGAGAATGGGAAGTTGTATGAGTTTGTTCAAATTTGGATCAGGGGTGGCTGTGCGTGGTGGCTCACGCCTGTAATCCCAACATTTTGGGAGGCCGAGGTGGGTGGACCACCTGAGTTCAGGAATTCAAGACCAGCCTGGCCAACATGGTGAAACCCCATCTCTACTAAAAACACAAAAATTAGCTGGGCTTCATGGCGGGTGCCTGTACTTCCAGCTATTCAGGAGGCTGAGGCAGAAGAATTTCTTGAACCTGGGAGGCAGAGGTTGTAGTGAGCCGAGATTGTACCACTGCACTCCAGCCTGGGCGACAGAGCAAGACTCCTCTCAAAAAAAAGATAAAAAAGAAGTTTGGATTGGGAACAGGGATAGATTTGGCCACACACACACACCCACCCACCCACCCCTTAATTTTGCCCTTGGATATGGTAGCATTTCATTATTTTTACCTTATGTGAGGTTATAACATGTTTCTTTAGAAACCGGGTGTTACGAATTTGACTGCTATCTCTTTCCAGGGCACTAATAAATGAGTCAATAGGAGAGAGATCATTTTTAAACCCAGCTAATCTCATCTAGTGCCTGTTAATACTTACGATTGCCTCTGCAAGAATGATTTAGGTATCTGTAGCCACGAAATCTTGGCACTTTAAAAGTAAAATCAGAAAATTATTATTTTTTGAGATGGAGTCTCACTCTGTTGCCCAGGCTGGAGTGCAATGGTGTGGTCTGCGACCTCCACCTCCTGGGTTCAAGTGATTTTCCTGCCTCAGTCTTCCGAGTAGCTGGGATTACAGGCATGTGCCACCATGCCTGGCTAGTTTTTGTATTTTTAGTATACATGGGGTTTCATCATGTTGGCCAGGCTGTTTTGGAACTCCTGACCTGTGATCCACCTGCTTGGCCTCCCAAAGTGCTGGGATTACAAGTGTGCAGGTGTGAGCCACAGTGCCCAGCACAGAAAATTATTTTTAAGGCATGAAATTGTTGCTTCTTTGTGTAAGTTTTTAGTTGATGAAAAAGGCCATTTTTTTTGTGATATGTGCAGTCATCCTGAAAGACCTATGGGCATGTGTCTCTCTTTTTTGTTTTTTTTTTGAGAGGGAGTCTCACTCTGTACCCCAGGCTGGAGTGCAGTGGCATGATCTTGACTCACTGCAACCTCCACCTTCTGGGTCCCAGTTCAAGTAGTTCTCCTGTCTCAGCCTCCTGAGTAGCTGGGATTACAGGCACGTGCCACCATGCTCAGCTAATTTTTGTATTTTTAGTAGAGATGGGGTTTCACCATGTTGGCCAGGCCGATCTTGAACTCCTGACCTCAGGTGATCTGCCCGCCGTGGCCTCCCAAAGTGCTCGGATTACAGGCATGAGCCACTGTGCTTGGCCAAATTCCTAATTAACATTTTGAGACCATCTAGTCACTGAATAATCTTGGGACTTTTTCTAGAAATAGAACTTGCTTTTTTGTTTGTTTTTAAGAACTTGTTTTAAAATAATCCATAATAGGCTTTAGATTAACTCTGTTTGAATATTAATTATGTATCCTTTTCTCTTTGCAAAAAATGAAAGCAGTCATTTCAAGTAGAAATTAAAGGTTTCTCATCCCTTCTGTTTAGATATAGTAACAGCTATACCAGATTTAAGCAAATTTTCTTTTTTTTTTTTTTTTTGAGA